GTCTGAGCTCCCAGGAAGCTGAAGGGAGTCTGTCGGTGTTTGTTCTGCATCTGTGGTTGAATTATCTCGGCGCCGCTGAAGGTTCTGTTCTCATGCAGACTGCTGCGTCACAGGGACTTCTTCAAACGTACGAAGCCTCGGAAAGTTAAATAACAACGTCTCCGTGATCGATAAAACGAGCTAACGTCGTTTAGAATCGCGAGTACGACATTGAAACATGATTTACATAACTATGTTACAAGAAACCATGAGCACGATTTAGGCCTAGTATAATCTGAGTGAGCGCGGTTAACTAAAACCAGAACTAAGTAAATCAATAACATGTTTTTTTTTTTAAATTAACGAGCTCAGGATTATTGAAATTGAGCACACGTTTGATATAAACCACATTCTCACACAGACAACGTGCTACGTTTGCTGTCATTTGGTCGTTTCCATTCTTGGGTTGATCAAAGAATATAGTGTCACAGATGACCTTTGACCTTTACTGTATGGCAACCTTTCAAATATCTCCAACGCATTTCTTCATCTCATGGTGATTCAGTGTAAGAGTCAGTGACGATAAATGACCACTGGAGGCAGTGGTGACACGTGTGTGTCGTCTATTCAGTACAGCTGTACTGCTAGTTTGTTTTTTTACGTCAGTACACACGCAGTGAAGTAATACTGGTGCAGCGTACCGTCACTGACACACAGCTGCTCTTCATTAACACAAGGACAGAAACCAAGTTGAGAAAAATGCGTTCATTAGCGTTAGCATGCTAATGAAGTGACGGCTTCGTGGCGCTGATGTTTCCACAGTGTTTTCCTCTCAGATCCACGTCTGCCTCAGCTGTTTTACCTCCACCAGCCCAAACAACCCCAGCTGTTGGGGGAAGAAAATCAATGAATGGATGAATCCATCTCCACGTCTCGTCTCCACCGCCGCCCGTTGTGCTGCTGCCGCCGCCGCCGCTGACGCTCTGCGTGTTCTCCCAGGACTTTCCCTTTATAACATGTCATTTGCTCAGTAAATGAGCAGATTAGCGCAGATTAGCACAATCCACCTACAGGAGGTGTTTTACATGAATCCCAGATGTCATGTAACCACGACGGACACTTTTCATTGACTTTATTGTGGAGCTAATGAGACTGTGTGGGTTTTTCCGACTCATTTGTCTCCAAAGCAGCAATTCTAACAAAGACGGTTTGTGCAAAAACAAGTAATCTACAAGCAAGACGGCAAGACTTTTTTAAATTAATTTTCCCAGAGACATCATCACCAGAGAGACCGTGTTCTACACCACTGCAGCGAATCAAGATTAGCACAGCGTTCGAAGCAGGAACTGTATCAGAGGCCAAAACGAAATGTTAAAAAAAGAGTTTTCTCTACTACTGGTCTGACGTCGTCAGGCAGCAAACAAACTGTTGAATGAAGCATTAATACAGTAATGGACAGGTATGAGCTGACACCTGTGGGACTAAAAAAGGTCGGGCTGCTGACCTGAGGTTGATTCTCCACGAACACAGAGATGGTATTTTAATCTTGAGGTGTGTGTGTGTGTGTGTGTAGATCACACTAAAGGGAACATTGCTCTGTCCATGTGTTGAAATGCATTAAAATTTTAAAATCAGATTAATTTAGCTACTTCATTAGCATGATTACTTTGATACTTCTGACATCCTTTAAATAAATAATTTGGGAGAAATCTGAAAAAATAACTGAAATGAACTGGAAATGTGCTGCAGATGTTCACGGTGTCCTGACGGCGGCAGCAGCAGCAGCAGCAGCAGCCCATTAGCTCCTCTGTCCTCCTGACATGTTATCACACTTGTGAAATTACCCAGCAGCCCGACTATTGTCATGTAAATGGCGAGCTCTGTGGCAGCGTCTGTCTTTAACCCTGTCCTTTCAGCAGCCTGTCTGTCTGTTACAATACCTGTCCACTCACCTCCACCTGTCTCCCCCTGTTGCTGCAGCTCTCTCTCTCTCCCTCTCTCTCCCTCTCTCTCTCTCTCTCTGGTCCTTTCCCTTTTGTTCTGCCTGACTCTCCATTTCACTCACGCCCGTCTCTTTCAGAGCTGCCACATCGCCTGCGTTCTTGTCAGGTGGAATATCGGTGCATTATTAATGACTCTGAAGTCCTTTCTTCCTTTATTTGTCCACCCATCTGCTCCTTGTGGTGCAGCTGCCCTCCACAGGGGCCCCTCGTCAGGCAGCAGTGAAGCCGACGGACAGCTGTGCAGCCTGACCGACTTTCCTCTGCACTTGTTACGTCCACGTCTCTGCCTGTGGCTGCTCTAATGAGACGGACAAATTGGTGGGGGTTCAGGTGGAGTGGATTACTGTAGTGTCAGAGAGCCAATGAGGGATGAGGACTGACTAAAATAATGTTCCTAAATGTTTACACACCTGGTTCACAGTCCTGTTCCTTTACCTTTAAATGGTAATGAGATCATTTAAGCTCCGCCCACTATCTGCCTAGAACAGAGTAGAGTCCAGAATAAAACCTGGATGTCTGTCAGTGGTTAGGAGTAAACTTGGTTACTTCAACTTTGAATACCATATAGACTAACTGACTGTCTCCCCCTAGTGTTGTGACAGGTGACAGCAGACCTTTATTGCTGTGCTGTACATTCAACGTGATGCTTTATGTATCTACACATATATATATATATTTATATACTAAGACACGAGGACAGACGTTGAACCGTGTGACACGTTTTTCCGTCCTCGCCCCGTAGGCTTAGCCACATTTGCTTAAAGGACAAAAGCAGTTCTTTGGGGCAACGTTATTCCTGTCTGAAGGCGACGTGTGATCGTGACAGGTGTTCGGCGCCCTCTGCTGTGACCCCGTCTGCACTGGTGTTGTTTTTTTGTCTGTGCTCACTCTGGCAGCTGGGTTGCATCACGCCGTCAACAGGGAAATAAAACTCCACAGAAACACAGACACACTGTGAGAGGAGGGAAACGGACCGGACTTTTACAGATGGTACAGATGGAGGGAGACGAGGACGGTGTGAAGAGACACAGAGAGTGGACAGGCTGAGAGTCACAGTTGGAGAAGAAACAGTGAAGAGTGGACAAAAACGACCAGGACACAGTGTCCAGCTGTCCTGACATAAACATGTCAACACAGATGGAGAAATGTCCCTTTTTCTCAGGAGATCAAAGGTCAGGTCATGTGATTCTCTGTCCAATTTGTTAATTGTTTTTTTTCCTTGTTGATGAGTCGATCAGTGAAGCTGAAGCTGATGTCACTTCAGGGACGTTGTCTTTGTTTACCTGTTGATCAGTGAATATATTTTTTCTTATGTCATAGACAAATGTATATTTAAAAATATTCAAACAGAAAGTAGAGTTCCATTTCCATCATGCAGTTTCTGTGGGAATAAACAACCAAACCCTGGTCTCAGACGTCTGCCTTTTCACTGCGCTCCAATCACACGCTTGGTTTTGTAGATCGTTGTGTGTCAGCTGTGTTAGAAAAAGACGTCGGTGTAAAAACCGCCGCTGCTGCTGCTGCTGCTGCTGCTGCTGCTGATGCTGCTGCGGCTGATGATGTCACAGTCTTTACTGCAGGTATTCTCTGTTAAACCGTTGCCATCACTGCTGATTGTGTTGCTGAACAATCACTGCGCAGATTGCAATCAGTGTCTTCAGCGTTCTGAGACGTGGTTTATGTCCTCTAAGATCCCTCTCCTCCTCTCCTCTCCTCTCTTCACCTCCTCTCCTCTTCTCTCCTCCTCTCCTCTCGTACTGAGACTCATTCAGTAGATTTTGTCCTCCACGGTGACATTTGACCTCAATCAATTACCGGATCACAGTGAAGACGAGAGCAGGAACGAATTAAAGGGCAGAGGGTTTTGGCTGTTGAAGAAGATCTTTGTGTGTGTGTCTTTCTTCAACTCCTGTCAGTTTATCAACATCGTGTTCAACTAAACAGGCCCAGGTTATGACTGGACTACACTTTGTTGTTTCTCGCTCACTCAGAGATGGGCGGAGCTTGCAGCGTCTCGTTACCATTCAAAGGTAAAGACACCGAGACCTGTCGTTCAGAACAGCTGCGTTTCATTTAAGTGCAGAGGAACCTGATTTACATTTAAATTCAAGTAGAAAAATATGTTCCTTTAAGTGAGATAATAATTGACAGGAAAAATCTCCACACTTGGTCGACATTAAAGCCGACAGTAAATCACTCCAGCACTTCCACATGTTTCCCGCCGCCTGCTCTCCCCTTGTCTCTCCCTCTAAAGCCACATCTTCATCAGTAAAGGTCAGACCTGCTCACTTCTGTCTGAGTGTCGGCATCACGGCGGTTAGTCGAGCACTTATTAGCTGTGGCCTTCACTGCTTTAAAGATCAGGCTGCAGCAGTCGGAGCGGCGGCGGCGACAGATTCAGGACAAAGATTTTTCTCCTCAGATTCAAACTGTTTTTTAACCAACAGTGCAGCGTCTGCTGCTCCGGTTTCAAACCAAAAACTCTGCAGATTCA